ATATCTGGAGATGGAGTATCTTGACACAGATGTTTTCAGATGGTTAAGTCTTTGGTGGAAAAATTTCTTCTTTATTCCCCACTTGTGCAATATAAAATATCTTCTGTATTTGGGACATCATTTGCTCATCAGTACTTTGTCCTTTCATGCAAGTGTCTTCCACAACAGAACAGGAGACAGCTTCTCCCTGGTGTTTGGTCACCATTTATTATCCAACGAATCTGAGACTAAAGCTGGAGAACAGCTCATGGGCCATGACCTAGAGACAGTTCAATTCAGTAGTTAGGGGAATTTCATGTGAAATCTGAGTTCTGTAGATAATTTCTTGTCATGAAATCAAACATCCTTTTCTCTTCAGACCCCATCAGAACAGCTTCCTATATCTGCATCAACCCACTCGCCTTGCTTACAAAATGTTAATGCTTATTTCCTTCCCTCTCCTGCTTCTCAACAATGAAATCATATTACATATAAAATAAGCTTATTGTGCAATGAAACTGCAATCCGTTTCAATGGCAACTGCACGCATCTCAAAACTAAAGTTCTCTTCATTCTCTCCAGGCTTGAAACTGAGATCAAGTCACAAAATAATTTTGCTGCTGATCTAAAATCACTGTTCTGCATTTCATAAATATCTTACACTAAACTCGCATTTCCTACACTGGCACAGGATGAAGTGGTTGACTGTACTGAATAGATACTTAAAAGACAGCTTTCACCCCTCTCACAGAACAAGAGCAATTTCAACCCTGAAAGTAGCAGCTTTCCATGCCCTCCCTTGGCACCTCTGTGCCTCCACCTGCTCTCCAATTCTGCAGTGGAAACTTCTTAGCAGAAGGGCCTGAAGTTTGTGTGCCTCCATCTTTGACCTAAGAGTCTCCCTGCAGATTCTTCCTCTCAAACTGTCTTTGAAAATCTCTCTCTGCCCAGCCACACTTTAAGATAACTACAAAGGCAAGGCTTAAAAAAACCCTGAGCTTTGGGTGACCCACTGTGGCCATCTGTCTCTTCTCACGCTTTCTTTTAAAGCCTGCAATGTACAAATAGTATGAGGAAAGGGCTGGGTTTCTAAACACCTGCTAAATGCAGGTCCTGCACTTTCAACTGCCAGCACTTCATTTAAAATGTACTACACTAAGCTGTGAACAAACAGATTTATTTAACAAACAAGCTCAACACAGGGATAAATCTGTCAGGCTTAAATCATCTGCAATACCTCTCTAATGAGAACATGAGGCTTTAAGACTATGCAGACTATGACTTTCTGCTCAGCTGGTGCACTTAATGGGCTGCAATCTTGGCTCTCACAGCAGACAATCCCTACAAGGTTGAAAAATGGATATGAATCAGACCTAACCCACAGAGATGTTGAAAGTACCAACACCAGCAAACTCCCATTTCATTTCTTCCATTTATTTTTCTTCTGAAAGTTCTTTCCTGTGCTACTATTTAATTTATGAGTGGTTGGACTAGATCAAGTTGAAGAATGTTCTATTAATGCCTGAGATGGAAGGATTTATTTTCAGAAAAAAAAATTAGAAGCAAATGATACCTTTGCTAAGGAGTATAAGCACATTGAGCTGTGATTTTCCTTCTCTGCCTGGGCTCAATTCCCTAGATCACATGGCCACTGAATCCAGTATCAACAAGATGGGACCTATGAAGAGGAAGGTGTTAAATACTCTTTCCCTCCACGGCCTCCTACATTTGGTGCTCCTCTGCCAGCATCCCCTTTCCTGTACGCCTAAGTTAGGACTGACCACCATCTCCTAACACATTTTAAATGCCATCAAAACAGCACTGGAGGTGTTGGAACAGCCTAGTGCATCACAAAACTCCACTCTAAAACTTCTCTTTCACTTCCTCCTGACTGCTTGAGGTTCTTTTCAAGAATGCCCTGTTTCTGTCGCTCGCAAGTGATCCATCATCTTTCCCTAAAAGGCCCAAAGAACAATCTATTTTGTGATTTTTTTCAGCCAGGAGATTCATTTCACTACTTGTTCAATTCTGACAGTTCTCCATATGAGTTTGAAGCAGTATATCTTGTTTGTTTAGCACCCCTTTGCAGTCTAAATTGGAGATGGTAACAGCACAAAGTCCTGATTTACACTGAAAGAATAAACCCATTATTTACATTTCAGATTTGTGTCCAACGATACTAAGATAAATACTAAACAAAACTCATCCTCTAGTCAAGCAAGCACAGGCTTGGCCATCTTTCTCACCCAGTAGTTCATGCAGTAGCTTGTTCATGTTTCAGCTTCTAACAGAAGCACTGCCAATAATTTTACCTATTTCCATTCTTTACACTTCTCTCCTGAGTTTTCTAGGTCAACCTGTTCACTCTACTCTCATACCACAGAGCAGCTCAAAATTTCAGAGAGCAGGATTTCTCACTGCTTTGATCATTCTTTCTCAATTATTTAAATGCAAGTTATCAATCATTATAATACCCTCATAAATCCTAAGATAGCATGTTATTTTACAGATACCAACCATGAAAGTATTGCAATAATGAGTAAGACAACAGGGTTTTGTGCCACCTTTCTAGGTATTCTTCTCCATTACATTCTGCAATCAGTTTAGTGTAGAGGGGGTATGTATGTGCTTAAATATATCCTGATGTACACATTTTCTGGGACTTAAATAGTAGTGCAATCTTCCCTATTTACTCTAGAAAGTATTTTTAGTGCTGCTACTCACTAGTTTTTAACTTAGAACAGACTCTTCAGATAGGATTCCTTTTCAGTATTTTTGTTAAAGATATCTCAGCTTCTATGGCATAGTTAGCAAGTGTTGCTTAAAATACACCTAAACCTCCTTATCAAATATTACACAGAAAAGAGCACAAAATCATGAAGAACACCACATGCTTGGATAGCTGAGGGCACTCACATCTGCAATGCTTTTTCTCTTTCCCCATGATGGACAGCTACTCTTCTCTACACTACTAAGGCTGCTAATTTTAGGGCCTCTAATTAGGAGTTCAGTTTAAAATAGTGCATGCCAACTGTATTGTGGGTATTCCCTCAAACACAGTACAAACACAAGCCACAAACAGAACAAAATTAAAAAACCAAACCACCAACATTAAATGCCTAATGTATTTGGTACCATCTGACCTGACCAAACTTCTGGTACAGGAGTCTTTAGCCAGCTCACTAGTGAAAATACAGATGTAGTTGCAGATGTTCATGCAGTTCTCAAGGAAACTGAATTAAAAGAAAAACTAAAACACACAAGGACTAAAGCAGATAGCAAAAAAATATTCCCTATGGCTACATGTCAGTCAAGAATTTACATGGAGGCTTAATTGGTTTTGAAAAGCAGGTAGACATCAATTAAAATTAGACATATTTGACAGGTCAGTAGTGACTTGGTCACCTAACACTCTCCTTGTTAAATGATAACCAGGCGATCTAGAAGGGCTTTCTGTGTATATGAAGGCACAAGCAGAGACACATTACAAGGAATCAGCAAGCTAAACTGACCCATTAAACCTAATATTTGTGGAATCACGATCATTGCCTCAAGCTTTATACACGATTTTTTGCCAAAACATCCGACAGAGCTGGAAGGATTTGTTATACCAATGCAGCCCACTAGGGGTCAAGTTACATCCAGCAGTTTAAAAATATATTTAGTAATAAAGGGCAAAATTTAGGCCACCATCCTCCTACATTACTAGAATCATCTGGGTTGCCACATGTATCACAAAGTGACAAGTCCTTTAGAACTCTTCTTTAGAACAAACAGAAAAAAATCATAATATGATGGTTGGTGCACAGAGATACAAAACAGAATAAATAATTGCTCCTATAATCCATTCATTAGATGGATTGAATTATTAGATTGCAGAAGTTTTCCTTAATAGAACACCATAGTATAAAGATTGTTAGTTCGGTTTTAGGCCAGCTATGATGCTTGAAAATAGTGACAATGGCAAGCCGAGCTAAAAACAAAACCTCAAGACTTGATATGTCTGATATGACAGAAGAACTTTAATCCTTCTGTGTAAAAGACACTTAGTATCACACATCTGATCATACAGCAGGGCTACATAAGAATCTTGTAAAACAAAACAAATATAAGTAAATATATTTATAAATACCAACTTGACAAAAATGAAACAACCATGTCTAATCAGAAATCCTGTAACAGCACTTTGTGAATGCAGAAAGAATGCCTTAGATTTGAGTGGTTTCCAAACATATGATTTTGTGAATGTGAGATGCCCAAATACAAATAAAAGATATTTAATTAAGGCCTATCCTCTGTGGAATAGGAAGGCTTGTGTAATAGAACTCTTAGTATGCCTTGTAAAGCTCCAATTTAAACTTAATTTACCTGTTTCCATGTCATTCTTTCATCCATTTGGAGAAACAAAAATGTTTGCAATTAAAGCCTTCTGACTGTGAAAAGTTTCCTGACACATAGGTAGCCTGTAACTTGAAAAATTCCACTTAAAATTTTACAGGAAATTATATCAGCTAAGATGGTGTCCCAAGACCAGGGTAAAAAAAGATGAGTGGTGAAAAACTGTGTTTGCAGGCCTAGTTCTGTGAGGAAACACATTGGGAAAACAGAAACAAATAAAAAACCCCAAACAGAACCCTCCAAAACCAAAAGAACAAAACATTAAAGGTCAGGTTTTGCCTTTCACTTCTGTACAGGAAGGAGGAGACCTTTAATGAGTAGTCAGCAGGTACCCTCTGAATGGTTCAAATTGAGTTGCAAGTTGGATGTTGCATTTCCTGAACTACCACAAAAAGTCCCAGAATTACTGTCAGCCTAAAGATCACAGTTCACAACCCACAGCCACTGGTTTAAACTGCTTTCACCTCATCTTTCTGCTTCACTCCCTCCAGATGCTTAACTCATCTTCCATCGTAACTAAGGTGCCATAAGGAAACTGCACACAGGACAGAGTGCCCTTTGGAACATTTACTAAAAGAATCAGTGTTCCTCAAATACTCAAGAGTTATTTTACTAGATCTCACCTCCTCAACCATATGCTTAACTTTCTTCTGTTGGCAGTGCACCATGTCATCCAGATGTTTGATTCGCTCTCTCAGGCTGGCTGCGACCTCCTCCAAGTGCTGTGACCTAGCAAAGCATGCAAGAGTCAAGTATTTAAGTGGGGAGCTGTGCAGGATAAGCAAAACAAGAACAATCCCCATAATTCACCATAAATCGGGACAGGCGAGTCAAACTCCACCGACAGATGTCAATTTGTCCAAAGTACGTTTTAATGGTAATCTTAGTCCGAGTGCCCGTCTCCACCCAAGTTTACTCACCTTTGTCTTGCATACTGGCACTCTTACTCAGAGCCTGAAGTGCTGACAATTAAACAATGTGACAAAACTCATCTCAAGGTGTGTTTTTCCTTTAAGTGAAAGGTTTTTAGACAACTAGATCTTTATCATTAGAAAGACACATTTAGCCTGACTTATTACCACCTACAAACGTTTTGGAAATGTATACTGAATAAAAGCCAGGAAGCAGGTCTGCTTTCAAAGCTGTCTTACCGCAGGAAAGCCTTGAGTCAAGAATCTGGCAGAGCTGCCAACAGCAGCAGAATGTTAACTGGTATTAACTCATCAACAGTCAGCAGGAATTGTGACTGTTTTAAGTTTGTACATGACTCTTCAGATAGATCCTACATTTCTCTCTTTAACACAAAAATTGAACACCCACAGAATTCCTGCCCCAAGTTGGTTTGTCAGCTTGTCAGAAAAGTAGTTTTAGAATACGCAAAGAAACAGGAGTGAAGCTTTTTAATAAATTTTTTGGCTCGTTGGCCATGGGAGACTCCATTTTTATCTGAATGTACAGTTCTTAAAATTCTTCAAAGAACACAATGACTTGCTTACAAAATAAACTTTTGTACTCTGAGGTTCAGGACTGGACAGAATTTGAGAAGTGGAGGAGGGGAATCAAAAACAAAAAGGCTTTTTTCATCTTGGTCTGTGCACAGCAGAAGAAACTGTTGAAGCTGCAAATAGAACTACCATTCTGAGACAAAGCAGCAGATGGCAAACTGTAAGACATGATTCCAGTGAATGACTGAATTGTATCCTGTTTCCCCCAAAAAGTGTCTATTAACAGTGAAGCACTCTACAGAAATTTAACTGCAGCACTTTGACAAGGACCCAAAAAATTCAAAACATTGCTGCAGGTTTTTCAGTTGTGAGTATTAAGGTCTCACAAAACTGCAATTTGTGGTTTTGGTTGCAATTTTAACACATATTTAGTCTCTCATTGAAAGATTCAGAATTGTAAGCATGGATAGCAATAGAGAAATGGAACAGACATCCATCCTCAGGTGGAGATCAAGTGTCTGGTCAGGTGCAGATAGGTAAAGGGAAGTTAAGAAGAGACTTCAGCATCACCTGAACATAGATTCATTGCTTGCATAGCATAGATTGCAACTGTGAGCTTGCTTGCATTGCACAAATTCCTGCCTCAACACTGCCTTTACCCTTTCACTGCAGTGTAACTTTTCACGCTGAAAACGATTCACTGAAGCGAGAAGAGTCTGTGTTATTCAGAGGTAAAGGAAGAAAGCAATTATCTTTCATCTCCATATTCTATGTTGCTGAACATCTGTTCACTTTAAATTATTATTTTAACAGGCTGCTGTGAAAAGCCATTCTTGCCCTGACACCAGAGAAGCTGGTCACAGATCAACACAAGCACACAGTGAGAGGCTCTCAGCAGGGACCTCCTTTTATGTTTATACTTCCTAAAGAACAGCAGGATGCCAAAAACCTTGAAACTGAATTTCTGGGTGCCACAGAACCATAATTAGTAATCAAGTACAGTTATTCAGTCTCTGGTTTATCTTTACCCGTTCAAGCAGTGTCATATAAACCTTTGAGTGGCAGATACAATTTTCACTCCAATTGCAGCTACTCTATTTCAGTGCTGGATAGAATTCTCTTGGAACTTGGCCTCTGACTTTGCTTGAAGCTTTCTTTTGCCTGGTCATGGTGCTCTGTCAGACTCAAAGAAGTAGTTATGGATGTACATGCCACCTGTGGGCAGAATCATCAGACCTGTCCCTCCAAGCCTCAAAGCTATTTCCCCCTCTACCTCTTTTATACAAAAGAGACATCTCTAGCAGTTATATGCAAAACTCTTGCTCTCCCCAAGAGTTCATATTTACAAAGGGAATGTCCTAGAGCTTAATGCAGGATACAGAATGTCTTGTCATTCAATACTCCGTTGAGCAGTAGAAGGAGATCATGAAAGTATTCACAGTCAGGATCATCCTGTGCTGAATTTGGGAATGCAGATTTAAGAAAAATGCAATCCACAAATATGCCACAGCTTGTTCTATCTACAACTTACTCTGCAGATTTGCAAAAAACTTTTCAGGAAAGATGCATGAAGGTTTTGTTGCTTTGTTGCAAAAATTATTCATCTTGTTTTACATGTAAATAAACCTTAATTGAGGTAGACAATCCCTATCAGACTCCAGTTTTTAAGTTAAAAAAAGTAAAACTGATGTCTTTAAAAACAACCCATCCCCTGAAGTTTCCTAGCAATATTACAAGTTCCACAGACAAGATATATCTCACCTTTCACTGTCGGAGTTGTTTTCGGATTTCGCTCCATGTATTTGTATTTCATTCAATTCAAGCTGTTTTTGCAGCTGCTGACGCTCCTAAACAAGAAATGTTATCCTTCAGTTCTCCATGTGTCAAAATGTAAAGGCTTCACAAAGCATATTTCATTGCAATTCAAAACATCATTTGTGAAATTAAAATAGAAACTGATTAACCAAAATTCATGCATTTCCTACAGCCAAGGAGCATAGAATGCATAATAATAAAATCAAATTCCCAGCTATGCATGGAAATAAGATCAGAGTTTTCAATTTTCTATTTGAAGATGTATGGCTTTACTTGAAACTGAATTTTTTTAATAAAAAGATGAGTCATCAAAATCTTTAACTACATAAATGTCAAATTGTCGATGTTATCTCTCCAAGGCTGAGATAAAAGGTGTTGCTGTATTTTCTTCCCCCAAAACATTCCTGTTTATTTTTAAGTGCGCAGCAGCACAGTGCTTGTGAAGATCTATGAGGACTTGGGGACTGAGTCAAAAGAAGTTAACAGAGAAGTAAATCTGTTATCCACTTTAATGGCAAGTTAAGAGGCATTCAGTCGTACTCAGCAAGTATCAGCCAAATAAGAGTAAATTAAATAACTAATGTGAAGAAACTCATTGGTACTCATGAACTACATTGCAATCCTTTATTCACTGTGTAACACAAGTTGTAGGCTGAAGCCCAGATGAAGTTAATGGAGCCACTAAAGGGGGATATTAAGCTGAACGATTTCTCACTGTAGTCACTAATTCTACTAACAGATTTGCAAGTATTAGACAAAAGGGGTTCAATGCACATTAGACTAACCAGTCAAGCCAACTGGTTCATAAAAACCTATCTCTCAGTAAAATACTGAGATTAAACATGTACTATACTGAAGTAAAAATTGTGAAAAAACACGCACTTCATTTGTAAGAACAGAAGATTGTATTCACTCCACTGACTAAAATTCTCTCTGCTCCTGCATTTCAGATAGCAAGGCACAAATCTTTAAAAGATAACGAGATGCCTGCTACTGAACGAAATGAGAAATACAAGACCATTTCATGGTCACTGCCCTCGAGCTGCACATCCCCCACCAGCCCCTCCTTGTTGGAGAGAACAAGGTCCAGCACAGCACCTCTCCTCGTCGGCTTCTCTATCACTCAGAGAAGGAAGTTACCAACACATTCCAAAGAAAGTTATCAATGCATTCCAGGGACCTCAGTTGCTTATGCCCTGCTGCATTGTCCCTCCAGCAGCTGTCAGGGTGGTTGAAGATCCCCATGAGGACCAGGGCTTGTGAATGTGAGACACTCCCATCTGTCTGTACACAGCCTCAGCTGTCTGTCTGTCTGTCTGTCGAGAGCCTCATCCTTTCAGCCTCCCTGGCTGGGTGGTCTGTAACAGATCCCCACTATAATGTCACCTGTCCCTGCTCTCCCTTTGATCCTGACCCATAAGCTCTTGGTCAGCTCCTCATCCATCCCCCGGTGGAGCTCCATGCACTCCATGGACCTACCACAGCAACACTTGTAAGTGAGTTTGGATCATTTATGATTTTTACTTGATTAGGCTTAGACTTTGCACACCAAAGGGAGACTGAATGGTCTTATTAAGGTCTTTCTTTAAAGTAACGTTCATTTCCTAAAGAAATGTTGACACCGTAGCCCTGACTGTAAAGAGAACTAGAAAGATAGAACAACCACTTCATCACAGTGTATCTGTGGCAGTCCAGGTTCACTTCTTATCTGAATACAATTACTGAGATGCAAACAGCATGGTGTGTCACTGAGCAGCAGGAAAACAACAAGAAGTTAAATTTCCTCCATGCACTGGTGCATTTCCTTTAAAGGCAGCAATCAGCTGACTCTCATACCACTTCCATGCGTTCAATCAGCCTGTCCAGCTCCCCAATTCTCTGGTCCTTTTCCTGGATGCTGGTTTCTGTAATCTGCATCTTCTTATTGGCCTCTTCAATAGCCTTCAGAAGCCGATTTGTTTCCTCCTTCAAATAAGAACATTCACAGTCACATTAGCACCTAATATATTAATGAGGAATTTTTATTTTTCTTTTCTTTTAAGCTACAGAGTCAGGCTAATAGCTTTTACTTTTACCCATTTCTTAGATACCTGTTTTCTCTTCTGAGGATGCTGTGGAGTAACAGCTAAGAAAAATATGCTGTTGTAGAAGACAATTTTTAAAACACCGAAGTTTGCCATGTTTAGTTTTGTACTTTCCTCACATGTAAAGCAATATGAATAGAAAGAGACAGGAGCATCTATCTTCAATCTCCATCATCATCCATCTCTATCAGTTAAAAAATGCAATGACTAACTGCTCATAGAAAGGTTTTCCTTGGGCCTAAAGGAAACCAAAGAACAGGAAGAGTTCTTGCTCCAGTAGCATCCAGTGAGGTTGTTCCCCTTCCTTCCTAAACTGTCACTAAAATTGGGCATTATATTTTTCTGTTTTTTAGAGAATCAAAAGTTAAAAACCCAAATAACTTCATTTCAAATTTTGAAATCTACATTATCATTAACATTACTATGTTTGAACACATTCTTTTCTTGGTCCTTCAACCCCAGAAGTTTGCAAAGGTTAGTAACTATGGCACAGAGACAGAAGTGAAGGAACACATGTGACCTCTGGGGGTACTGAGCGATTGAGAAACACCACCAAGCTGAGCACCACTCTTGCAGGCTTGCTATACATACCAGGAGGATTTCTTTCTCAGCTTTATGTTTCTGTTCCTCTTCTCGCATCTTTTCCTCATACTGACTGTACAGTTTTCTTGTCATCTCTCTCATGACTTCAGCATTGGCTTCCTGCGATGATTCCACCTGTGAGGGAGGAAAGTTGACCCATCAGTCAGTACAGCATTGCTGGCAGCAGGAGAAAGAGAGTTCACATGATGTAAAAATAACACTTTGAGCTTCAGCTCCACCTTGTTACAAATCTGACATTGCTGAAGCAGATTTCCATTTGCATCAAGACCATTTACAGCATTCTGCCAGCACACACATCATTGCAACTTGCAGAAGTTACCGTTTCATCGAGTTTCAGTTTGTCTGAATTTAACCCCTTTGCTCATTGCTTATCCAAGGTCAGGCAGTGTCTCTTTACTGAGCCCTTTCCTTGCAGCCTCCAAGTCACTTGGTTTGCTTCCCCATTGAAAACACTCAAAGCAATAATTACTTTATTGCAGTACCCCCTCACTGCTCTCTCTTGGTTTTTCACATTCTGGTCTTTGTGTAGGCACAAGAACTGGGGTGACAATGGAGGAAAGTAGATCAGGGAACAATTAAAATTAAAATTAATATTCTCGGTGATGTGGAAGGGTTAATTTTTAACAACAGAACCAGAAACTTTACTACAGCTACAGGGAAGAGGGTAAGAATGGTAATTCTGAGACAGGATTTCCTCCTTCTGTTGGCTGAAAACACTGACTGAAACACACCCTCGGTGATTAAACACTAGACAGGATACTCACAGCTTAAGCCCATCTACTGGATAAACCACAATACAAGCAAAGTAAAATAACTAGTCCAGAACTTAGATCTCTTCCTAGAGATGCTGTGAAACAGCCAATGTTACAGTGAAATCCTGTGGGTGCTACAAAAGTGACAGGAAGAGGAGGAATATAGTGTCTGCAAAGAGAATCAAGTGTTCCCTGCTGATCACTACATTTTCCACAGCTACAAAATACATAGTTCTGATGATTAAGGTTTTGGGTTGGTTCTTTTTTTTTCCATTTCAAGGGTTGAAAGATTTATTAAACCCTTGTGTTGATCTTGCAAGGCAGAAACAAGCTTGTTTACTGTCCTGTGCAAAAACAACACTGCATTTCATCCTTTTGAAAAGGGACTGAGCTCTGAAGGACTCCTCTGGTACTGCAATTGCCCCCTTTGTCATCTCACCTAGATCGAGTCTGGAGCACTTTATGAGAGAGGGTGGAGTTAAACTAACCTTCCACATTTCAGGAAGCCTGAAAGAATTGTATCATTCAGAAAAAAAACAATAGTTAAAACCCAGGTTCCTTAAGATACATTGAACTGGAATATGATCTCTGTCCCTGTATCTCCATCTTTCCTTGTCTACAGCTTGAGCAATGAGGAAAGTAAAAACAAGCATAAAAAGGCAGATGTATCAGGGCATCTGTTATAATACTCATGAGCAACATCTCCAATCTCAGTTATTATGGTTATATGAATAAACTGAACCTACTTAATAAGCCTCACAGGTGTGTTCTATCCAGAATGTAATCATGGGGTACAGTAGCTACTGCTTTTCAACTGTTAACCTCCCAGATTCCACACATCCTCTTACAACCACCCCTAGAATTTAAAACCCAGATGTCTTGGCACCTTTGATACATGATTTTATATTTAACTGTCAAAGAGGTATTTTATTCACTAATTTTGTATTAAAACTGCAAGTTTGAGGGCAAAATTTACACTTTTTTGTATATTGTATTCTGCAGACCTTGACATGCTTGAAGATAAACAAATCCTTACACATTCAGTAGAGCTGAGACTTAAGCTGTGTTTCTCAGCCCTCAGAAGCAGACATGCCTTTCCCTGACTTGTTGATGCATGTCCTTAAGATTATAGTGAAGCCCAAAGTTCTGTTTTAAAATCTTAATTGCATCACCTTTGCTTCTTTTATTTGTTTTTTCCCTCTATTTATTTCCTGCTGACAACAGCAAGTACAAAATAGCCCGACTTTTACAGCCTGTAAAGCTCCACTAGAAGAGGAAACTAGAACATGAACTGTAATTTGAAATGCACTTATGATGTTTTCTTGTTTAGCCATTCATCATTAAGCATGAATGCAAGTCACTAGACAGCCAAAAGAAGCATTTTCTCTGACAAAATGAAACATGAATAAAGCAGCAGTCACCTTAATTTCACAAATTTGTCCAAAAAAATTCACAAATTTTTCAAAATTTAAAAATTCTGATACAGTACTATATCCAAAATAGTCTACTTTGAGCAATTTTAAGAGCAACAAAGGTTTGCAGAAGAAGGTGTGGGGGTTCTGTTAGGGTTTTTGGGGCTTTTTTTTCTGGGTTTATTTTTTTTTTGAGATTAAAGGAATACATTTGGCAGATGAGGGGAGAACATGGTCAAGCTTTCTGGCACATAAAACCCTGCAATTTGTGTTTTATTCCCTTGCATTTCTCTGAAAGAAATAGCTTAATTCTCTTTTTAAGATACTTACAGTACTGCTGACCACATGCTCATAAGACTTAACAGATTACCTGTGGTGCAATGCCAAGTAAACTCAACATCAGAGAAACTCATATAGCACTGTGTAGAGTTATAACACTCCTTGACTTGATAGAAAAAGATGCTAATAACCATTTAATGGTTTGAATTTTCATCTGCCAGCATCCCTGAATCTTATGTTACATCCCATGTTATGGAAAGTCTGACTGTCATCAGCTGAGGTTCCTTGTTATTAAACCAGTATCGATTCACAGAAATATGTGAGCTCTAGGGAATGATGAGGGCATGAAGAATGAAGAACCCTTTACAAATAAGGCTAAGGAATTATTTTATCATACTCCTAATGCCCTTACTGTGCAACATTTTTAGGGGAGTTTATATACCACACCTTTAACTTCAGTAACTGATTTTCAATTTGTGCTGTTTCCAGTTGCTTTTGCTTCTCTCTCAGCTTTTCCATAGATTGCTCGTGTGTATGTTTTAAATTCCTTATTTGTTCCCTTATGTCAGTGTTCTCCAATGTGACATCCACTAGAGTTTTCTAGAAAAAAAGAGGCAAACCACATATTAAAAATCAGAAATAATTTGATGAACTAACACAGTCAAGAGATTATGAAACAGGCAGGACATTTAAAGAGCTTCCTGATGTACTAATGCAGTGTGAACAGTTTTGCAACTTTTAACATTTAAAATTATGGGTTTTGGTGTTGTTAGAAGGTATTTCCATGAGAAATGTGCTCAGTGACATCAAGTCCTGGAACATTATTAAAAAAAAAAAAAGGAAAGGAGCATGGATACATTTCAGTATGAATAATCTTCCCTTCTTCTCTCCAAGGGCCATGTGACAAATATAAAAGGCACTAGACTGAAAAAAACTGTGACAATCAAGAAAGCAGGAACATTAGGTTGTTCAGCTCAGTTACATGGGAATTTGAAAGTCTTTAAAAAAGAAAATTCATTCCCACTTTGTCCCTCCCCCCACATTTCACAGGTATGTAAAGTCTCACAAGTGTTTAGCATTCAAACATGCCACTCCCATTTCTGTTAACAACTGAAGGTAGGAACAAGTCAGGAGATGGATCATTTTGCACTATACAGAACAGATCACATTTTCAGCTCAGATAATTTCTAGAGACACAACTAGTGGCATTAATCTGCTGCATATCAGTATCTCTTTATTGTACACTATTTTTTAATGGGTTTTTTTAAACACAGGTGTTGGAACTTTTTTTTCTTAGTTTCCTAAAGAAGTTGCTTTAGATATCAAAGACAGTACTTTATGGTCTGGTTCAGTGTTAGAATCTATACCTGCCACCCATGTTGTAGGTATGCTTTTAACCCCACATTAGCAAAGGCAGTTGTCAGCTGGGACAGAGCTGTTAGGATGTACCTGCAAGTCTATTGATGCTGATGTCAAGGAGCTGTTCATTTCGCTAAAGCTATCTAAGGCTGCCGCCTGCACTCGCACATGAGTCTCTAAGGATTCCTGATGAGCATTTGTCACCTGAGCAGGAAAAAACAAACAAACAAAACAAAAACAAAACCAAAAAAGTTTTATATAGAATAATTATCAAGTTTACCTATTCTTTCAAAGAGAGCTACAGAAGAGAAAGACCCCCTACGCTCATTTTCACAGTACTAGGATGCTTAGACTGTACAGGCCTCCAAGTATATTCTTGCACCTCATAAACAAGCAAAACTTGCTAACAGAACAAAACAATGCTAACAGAAATGAGGCACAAGTATCTCTGTTCACTGCTAGTCTGCAATCACTGCAGAAGCTGTTCTTTTTGAAAGGACAAGAGGACACTTGGCAGCTCTCTATTCAGAAGGATTGTGTACATGGAGTGGGCAGATTGTAAAAAGTCACAGTGAGAAGCAGAAGAATGCAAGAAATAAGGAAATCTAGGAAGGTTGGAGTGAACTGTAGAAAAGCCTTAAGTAAGAAGGAACTGACTAATCAGGTACATAAGCAACATCAAGAAGACTTAAGGATGAAACAATATGAAGCAAGAAGTCAGAGTGCTTTGTTGTGTGAAAATTAGTAATTTTCTGTTATGTACACAAACACATGCTTAAAAACCGAAGGGGGGGAAAAAAGGCACAAAATTACTTCATTCAAGAAGAGACCAAAACCCAAACAGTGTAAATAATCACAAACAATCCAATAATAAAGAGGAAAAGAGTGTTAATAATGGAGGCCAACCCAACTCACATTCTTAGCTGGATCAGATTTGTTTCTTGATAAAAACGTAAGAACACAAGGGACTGATATGGAGGACAAGGAGTGTTCAGTAACCAAGCCATACACAGATTAGGTCAGCATAGGGAGCAGAAGCCAAGCAATTGCTGTTAATCTTATATAAATGTGTGCTCATGTAAAGATAAACAAACAAAAGCAGAAATGCTTTGGATGGATTAAGAAAGTTACAAGATAAGACCTTGTGGTGAAGAAGCCCAGGGCAGGATATTGGAAGTACAAATTTCAAACAAACTTTATGAAAAAAAAGTATTCCTGAAAATTGATAGGAACAAAAGCACAGTGATTGAAAGCTGAAGCAAAAAGTATAGAAAGGATTTTAGACAGGGTCCCCAAATAGGCAAAAGGTGACATTCATGTAAAAACAAAATCAAACACCAATAACCAACCAAATAAAAAGCTTATTTTTATCAGGTAGAACAACACTTGTAGTTCCTTTCAGGCAGTTTAGAGTATTAAAAAAGGGGAGGGTTGTCTCATAATGTGCCATTTATGTCACGAGTGCTTCATAAACTGCTAATTTGCTGCAGAACTAGATATTCTGTCAGAGCTGGTCAGAAACCCTTCATTAAGAAAGAATTTCTGACTCAAGCAGGATTTCTACTGGTCTGACAAAAGATCTGGAAGTGCAGGATATCACCAGTGCTATTCAGTAAAGATCAGCAGCAAAGACAATAAAACTGTACCTGAATCAGCATTTACCTGCATGCATACTGGGTAGGAGAGTCTTGTCAGCAGCTTTATAACTATTTAACACAGTTTACAGAAATTGAGTTTTCTTTCTCTCTTCCTCTCAAGTCAGGGTGATTTTTGGTTTTTTTTTTGGTTTGGTTTGGTTTGGGTTTTTTTGAGACTAGTTGCCACAGAATTCAAGTACCTGTTTACAGCAAGGTCTGATTTGTATCATTAACGCAGCATGCAGGGAACTGACAGCCTCCAAATCAGGATGGCAGAAGGGCACAAATCAGAGTTCCAATTCCTTGAAATCAGAATACCTTTCATTGCCAAAGCTTCATCTGAATGAGGGCTGCCAAAATCAATGTTGAATATAAATCTAAAGCAAGTTTTCAGGGAGATTTTTTGGACCAAAGAACTCAGCAGTTTAATATGAAGGATACTTCTACAGACTGCAACAGCTTTTATTGCTAAAGCAGCGTGTCAGAAGAAAGAGAGGTCATCAAATGACCACTGAAATGTTCAATTAAGAACAAAAAGTTAAGTAATTTTTTAGCACTGTCAGGCACTTTTATATTAAAGAATACTGCTACTGCTATTACCACAGTGTCTGAACAACAGAGTCAGTAAAACAGAGCAAAGTGTGTTGAAATGACACCAAGTCACCCATTACTCCTAACTACGTATGTTATTTAGTTAATTCACCAGCAGCTTCCTGGTACATACATCTCCACTAATTATGAATACACACAGACAATGGCATCAAGGTCATTCTTTTACTTCCAAGAATTTCCAGGCAATTAGTAATTCTATACGCAAAAGTATCCCTGTCCTGCTTTACCTTCCTGGATGGAAAGATAAAGAAAGGAAACTACAGATGTCACATAAACCAATGAACTGGAGTGAACTGGAAAATCAGTTCTGTTCTGCTAAAGCAAAAGAAAAGTTTCTAGATAACACTGGGGCAGTTATTCCCATATGCTTTCCCTACAAGTGAGTGGATACTTACTTTCAGTTCATTTGTAAGCTGCTGTATCTTTCGTTTCATTTCATCATATTCACCATACATTTTTTTTCTTACTTTTTCCAGAGTTGCTCTCACCTGTTGTCAGAAAAATCAAATGCCTTTATGAAACTTATAGATGATACTGTATATACTAGGATGTGAATTTTGTCTATGTTCTTCATTGTTACTTTCCATAATTTCCATTATTAATCTACCTCTGCATAACAACAACTTACTCTGAAGAACAAGAAAAAAACTTAAGTGTCAAGACTTGCCTACATAGGAATGATACAAATAACTGACCTATGAGTAATTCTAAACTTCTCTGTAGACACTCAAACATTTGTAAATTAATAATTTAAATAAATGATTTTAAAATAAATTATCCATAAGGTATTCTAACCTGATTACTAAATGAATTAAAACTAATTTGAGCGTATATAGTTTTATTTCTGAAAAAAAGCATCCACACATAGATTTAAAACACCTTCATACTTTTGGAAGTGGTTACTTCTCCCTGAGTATCCTTTGAAGATAAACCCTTCTAATTTCAGACTTTTGTTTACTAATGCAATTTCAAATCTGAAGAACAGAGAACTCAGTTTGATTTTAAGAACTGTGGATGCAAATTAATCTTTGTCTTTCTAGAAAAAAAAGGGAAAAAAAAGACCAAAAAACCCCCAAACTAGCTGGCTTCCAGCTCCGGTTTACATGCCATTGCAATCTTGTTTGCCTGCAGTCTACATTCCAGCTACATAATTCAAACCCTGTTTTTCTTTTTCCCCCCTCACCCCTATCAAATGGTGAGACTGACTGCAGATACTCTAAGGCACTGAGTTTACCTGCACAGGCTTGGGGCGTGGGGAAAACTCGAATAGAGCCTTATACAAGAGGGGATGTTTCCAGGAGCCCTGCATAGAGCACATCCACTCCCTCCCACAAAGAGGGGCACTGGCCACGAAGCCTATGTGCTCAGATCCAGAGGAGACCATCAGCAGCTCTGACATGGCCCATCAGTTTTGTTCTGTTTAAGTCAGCACATGCGCAACACAAGCTCAGGACTCTTTTTTAAGACTCTGCTTTTAAAGGCAAAACTTATCTGGCTGGCCAAAGTTCACAAATTAGCACAGCTGAACTCAACTCCCAGAAGATGGGAGAGTGTCTTCCTATGTCTTTCCCACTTTTTCCTGGAAGGATCAGTACCCTGAATGCACAAGCAAGACATGCAGTTCACCTGGTGTGTCGTATGGCCGTGAGCCGGCTGTGAACAGAAAAGGGCAGGGACATGGTCCCAGTCTAAGCAGTCTAGCCCAGGTACCAGGAATAGTGCAGTTTGGGGAGCTGGCCCTGCTGCATGACAATTCACCTGTTCCTTGACACCACCCCAACAGGGCAGAGAAACTCCCCAGGCAGGAAAACAGCAGCAGGGCAGTTTGTGTGCTTCGCCAGCACTGCAGTAGTGACATACCCTGACATGCCCTAAGCCTGAGAGTGCTGAATACTGGGAGGGGAGCTCCCAAACTGTGAGTAATAAGGGAAAGAAGCAAGTGCTGATAGCTACAGAGACCAGGCAGATGTTAAGAGCACACACAATCACAGTCTCTTACACTGCTGGTATGGCTCAGTGTTCCTCCCTTTATATCAATTCCATTTGCACTTGAATTAGTGTAACCTGATAACCACTGACCAATGGCTCCATGGGTGGTGAGGGTGGATGGAAAGAGAAGGTCAAATTATTTGCCCTGGGGTAATCAGGATGTTACTGCCAAAGCCTGAGAGCCAAGGACTGATGGGCTGTTTCAGGCACAGAAAAATTTTAAGCAGCATCAGAAATACATTTTTTGTCTTTCAGGAGAGCTTCTGCCAATTATGATAAATGAGCATGTACAGAGAAAGTAGTACAAAGACATCATTATTAGGCTGACTATTTTAAGGCTGCCCCAAAATATACCCCAGTGATTTTACTATCTCACCTAATTTAGAAGCCTTTTCAAACCTGGGGGGCTTGGGGACAGGGAAGCCAAAGGAAGAGAGGAGAGAGAGTTTGTCCTTCCAGGTGTCTGCTTACACAGTTTTTCCTCTCAGCAAGAATTTTCAAGTACCACTTGGCAGAGAGGCCTTGAGTCTGGACTGCACAGTTCCCAGGTATATATAGCATGTTTTTTTTCTCAATTCAAATGCTAACAAGGCAAGCCTTTAGCTTCTGAGGAGGTTCCCAATTCAAATTCGGGTGTTGGGCTGGACAGCAGTCATCCCATTATACACTCACAACTCTACACAAATACATGTAAAGGATATTTAACAAATGTTGAAGCTGAAACTGTAACTCACTTCTTTAATGTAATTCATCTCTTCTTTCAGCTGATCAGCTGACCAGCCATAAACCACCATTTCTCTCTTATGGTTGTTGTCAGTTCGGTGCACGACGCCATAGACCATCCCATGAGAGAGCTTCCCTGGAGACATCCCATTGGGTACGTGGTAGAGCTCCTTAAAGTGGGGGAAAAAAAATAAAAACAATTAAAATCAGACTAGAATTAAACAAATAAACAAACAAACAAACAAACAAACCAAAAAACAGTAACATAGAGCCAGGAGAGACAGCCAACTATAGTGATGACCAATTTATAATTGATAGAGAATATAGAGATGTCTTTTTTCCACAGCCTTTAATGGAAAAGACATAGGCACAGCTAGAGGAAACAGATTGGAGAGGTAGAGCCATGTGAGAAAAAGTTATCCTGCCTTATTTTCTTTCATCAACATATGCTACTTTTCTGCATTCTTGCAAAGCACTGTCAGGTCTCTATTTCCTTCTAAACTCTTGCACCAACAGAATTGTCCCTCACTGGCCAAACTCCCTGCTGCAGGAAACATAAAAATTCACAAATTTACTTTAAAATTACTGAAAGTTCTAAGAAACGGAAATTAAAACATTTTAGGCAAGGTTCCTTAAAAGAGAGTTCAGAAAATATCTGTTTATCTTGAAGATAAACAAAGTAGAATTTCAGTTTGCACTTAAAGCTAAGTAAGGGCCTCCAAGGCAATGAAATGCTCATTTCAGGGCTCCATTTCTCTTATAGAAGTTGTAGAACTGACATTGTAAGAGCTAGGGCAAAGCTATGAAACAGCATTCCTGTGGGTGTTCCAGCATTATTCACTATTGTAGAAGGATAAATCTTCTAAATCAGGTCTTGCTATGTCAATAGAAAGGCTGTTTAAAAGTGACTACATTTGTTATTTTAAGAATCTGCAGAAATTTTTAAAACGTGCTTGTGATAAGTTGCACATCTTGCTTCAAGGCACTGTTCACAACAGACTCCTCTTATTCATCTCATCAATACACTTAGTAAGAAAAATACTCATGCAAACAGAAGGAATCACTTCCCTCAGCATGTAAATAAATATCTGCAAGGTCAGATGTAACCACCTGACCTGACAACTCACCCAGCCCTCCTTCCAACCAACCCAGAGGAACATCCTTCTGTAGCAAGCATCTGAAATGAGTCAGTCTCCAGAACTACTCACTTCTCTTCTTGATTACAAAGAATTTAAACCATTAGCTTAGACAAAGAGACTTCCACATTATGACTTTTTTTAAAAGAGGAGAAAAATATTCTTCATTAACTTGGAGTATTTGCAAACTACAAACCTAAAATTAGTGGTTATTTCTGAATGGAAAGTTAGAAAGAAAGTTTGGAAACCTGGCTGTTACTGCTTAGCTTTGCACATTATTTTTGAAAGACCAATTCTGGGGAAAAATCAGTTATAAGTGATTTTACTGAACTTTCTTATGCTGGATATACCAGGATGCAGGTAAATTTGAGAATATTTATTACACTGACTTTAGAATATATTTGGTTTGGGGGTTTTTTGTTTAAAAAAGACACTGTAGGACAACCGTTAGTAAATTAGAGTCTAAGCAGTGTCTAAATATTCTCTTTGACACCAAACAGAGACTGAAAGCTCAGTGTCTTATATCCACCTGCAGCTGCATCCTAGAACACCTCCAGCCCCTACCCTGACAGATGAGAGGACAGCAACTGCAGTCTAAAGCAGCAGCACTTTCAGTTTTAGCAGCCAAACACAGCTGTGGTGGCAACATAAGAATAAATACTTCTTTGGGTAAGGCGAAAATGAACATGAAAATTTACTTGCATTAAGAAAAATGGGTAAAGATAGACATTTGTTTTATATTGTGTCCCTCCTGCATGGCACTGGCAGATTTTCAAAACTGTAAATCCTACACATTTTCCTTTATCATATATTTAATAGCTTAATCATGTTGCTGAAGCTTGGAGGGGAGTGCAGGGCTGGGAGGGGAACAATCACAGAGTAAACACCTAATAAAGAACATTTCAGGCAAAGAACAACAAAACTGTAAGCCATAATTTAAAAAAAAAAGCCTTAAAACCACTTAATGATAAAACAGTGGGCAACCAGTCCTACCTATACATGATATAACTTTGCACGTTGTAAACATTACATGCAAAGCTCCATAGCTTCATAATCAGCCATTTCATAACTATGTATTATTGGGGTTTTTCTTGTTTTGCTGGATGTGCACAAACAAAACCTCCACACCTGATATTTTGAGAATAGAGAAAACAGGAACTAGATGGGACATGCCTCAAAACTTTTTTGTGTTTGTTTGCTTCCAGGGTTGTACAGTTTCTTTCATATCTTCATTGCAGCTCCTCCCCTGCATCTGGATAATGGGATTACACACAAGTTTCCATCTTCCTGATAACAGAATGAATAATCACTCTGATTGTTTAGAGGTTACCAAGGCACCAGACACTGAATTCATAAATCCATACTCTTTACCCATGATCATTCATTTTTAATGAGGTGAACAGCTGAATACCAGCAACACTAAGACCCTTTGTGCCTCTGAAACATTAGCAGAATTGTCTAAAGTGCTGTTTGCAGAATTCTGTATGAAAAACTATTACCAAGTTCCTTATTTTTAGAATATTATGGACACATTCCTAAGGAATGTCGTGAAGGATTTCCACCCCCCAAGCCCAAAAAGAAAGACCTACAAATTCAGACCAATGCCTTGCAGGTGGAAAATCACCCATGGCACTTACATATGTATTTCACAGATGAACAGACTTCAATTTACATCATATTGGGCAGCACATGCAGGATTAAGTATGCACAAAGGCAAACTGCTTACACGGCTCTTGTAACAATGCTAAACTTGCCCATTATCTGTATTGGCACAAGCCTCCCAAGATGCTTTTGTTACTTCTCTTTCAGAAGATTAAAAGAATCTCCATCATCTGTTGACTGTTACAGTTCTCCCAAAACACAGGATATTGTTTTTACCTTCTCCTTATTCCTCCTTCGTATCACAATCCTCAGACAAGCACTTGTTAAAATTTCAGTACAGTTCTTGGTTGATTTAAAGCTACACAAATAACTTCTCTGATATTTCTTTAGCCATTTTCATTGCTGTTCTATTCCAGCTTTGTTTATTTTCTACTCCTCCTTTTCTCTGTTTGGTAACTCCTAATTTCCACTCAGTGACCACTTGTTTCAGGGTTCTGTACAGACAAAGAAGGGCTGACCTGAAGCAGCCCCCTCTTAGAGGACAGGTTACAATCAGAAAGCTCTGCTCAATGCAGGGTTGAGAGTTGGATGGATTCCTTGGCTTGTGGACTTTCTTAATACACCTTAGCCTCTAAAGGAGGCCTTGCTGAATAGCTCAGTTCTCAAATTTCTCCACAGATCTGTGTCACTAAGTATGCATGGAGTACACTTTCTGCCAGTTTGCCTCCTCTCTTAAGCCACTTCCACCCACCTTTGTCTATTTTTCTCCCTTCACTGTTTTTTCCTTTTCTACCTCGTCCTCTGTTTTTCCTCTATCACATCCTCTCTCTCCCATGTTTCCTCTTTCATAAATCCTGCATTTTCCACATCCCCAAGGAATACAGAATAGTTTTTTACAGTCAAACACTTTTCATTGTCTTCCTCTATGTCCCACACATACCCACATATTTTTCCAAGTGGGTCCTCAATGGCCTCCACTACAGTGAGACATCTCAGTGAAGATAACAGCATAAGTAAATATATGCAAGTAAATACTGTAAAGTTAAGCAGAAAAGTGCTTGAAGAATGTTTCATTAGATTAGTCAACCATCACTGTTTAAGGTTAAAATATCAGTCAAATTCCTTCTGATGTGAGCTGCTGATCTGAAAGGCAGATTAAGCTTAAGCAATTTGTGAATATTTCTTTGTGCCTGCAGTCAGTTCTATGACAGCCCAAGGTAACAGCAAGATGCACATGCATCCTGTATCAGCTTCCAGGAACACGCTTTGTCTGTGTTGCAGCAACTAACATGCTGTACTTGGTATGGTCACACAGAATGTGCTCAAGAAATGTAGACTGTGTTTATTTAACTAATAAGTATTTAATACAGAAGCCTACACCCCAAGGTTGCAAAAGCCTTGATAATTGCCATGCATCCTGTTTATGTGTCTGTCCAAGGACGTAGCACACGTTAGCATGAAATAGGTGAAGCAAAGACATTATAAAACCAAACCCTAAATATGAGTTGTTAGCTGCTTTTTCTATGGCCCGTGGTTTTATTGGCATCACAAATAACACCGAGGAATGATGTGCTTCCTAATCTATCTCCATCAGTTTTTTTAATTAAAGTCAGATAGCCCCATACTTCTCCATGCCCCAAAATTGAAAGTAAAAGCAGAGAAGATATTTTGAGGAAAAAAGGAGTCTAATGTAATGCTTAACACAATTCTGGGTTTAGCACTCATATGGCCTTCAGATTTTCCTGACTCATGATCTTCTGTTTACCTACACATCTAAAAACTTTGAACAAGAACTGTATCAGTTAAGTGAGGCTTTATCTTTTCCTTAACAGCCACATTCCAGACGTTTCTGAAATATCCAGTTATCTTTTACATGTTCACTAGTTATACAAGGAACAAGAATATTCAGGTTGTTACTTAGGTTACGTATTTTCTGTTCAGTAAAATGACACATTTATAACATTGAGGTCACCAAGAACAGTTACTGTGCTCTGATAAAAGGTAGCTCTGTTGTGTTTTTTCATATTCCTCTACAGCCCATGAAAATCTTGTTACATTTATGATGTTTTATATCAAATATACCATGACATAAGACATGAGTGTTCTTAAATTCATGATACTAAACAAGAAGCATCGCGTAACACATTCCAACTTTTAAGCTCCTTGGGTGTAGAATTTAGGTATCCATCTCAAAACACAGAAGTGAGAGGCATTATAAAAAGTCATATCCCATCCATGAAATCTGTACACAGAACACCAATGTTTATGCATTAGGAAAAAAAGATACAACAAATGCAGCAGTAATCTCAGAAGTCAAGGGAATTCTTTCTGTGGTTTTCATGTAGGGCTGGTTTTAATGGTGTCGCTTAATTAGTACACATCAAAAATCAAGCAATCAGTGCTGGAGAGACTGAGGAACAGTAACATCAGCCACCTGTAGCACATGAGCCACATTTGGTAGGGCACAAGTTCTGCTCTGCAGATAGGAGTGGGTTGGCAGCAGCAGAGAAAATAGGCACTGTCCTAGATTCACTGTGCACAGCTGCACTTGTATTCTTGATCCAGGCCTGACACGAGTTTCTGCTTGATTCTCACCATGACATACAGGAGCAAATCTCTCTTCTGGCTTCTTCACAGCCTACTTTTTGTGCTGGGGAAAATATAAGCATTTGAGGATGTATACAGCCAAAGTACCAAGTAGAGTTTAAGACTAAACACCACTCAAACTTGAGTAAAAGCCACAAAGACAGTAAAGTGACACAAATTTCTGGTGTATCATCTCATTTTTGTTCTCTTGTCCATGTGTCCAAATGAAAAAAAAAGTCTGTCTAAACGTATCTCCATATTCTGCCCTCAAAAGCTTAACTGCAGCTTCCAATGACACTTCCAAATTTAGCCACGACAGTGAAGAAAGAGACTGATGGATAAAAATAAGCCCAATCCCAAACAGGGACAATACAATTGTCTGGTAGCCCTTTATTATGCAAGACAAGAGGCTTCAGGACATGCAGATTTTGCATACAATCTGCCAAACACAATATGCCTTTGTACTTCATGGTGAAGTAAACAGCCTCACACTACTGTCATCCATTGTCTATCATGAACAAAAGTAATGGAACAAAATCAGAATAGTCTGTGATCCTTTCTACCTAAAGTGCTGACAATTCAGAGATATCAAGCCCTAGGCTTTTAGCCTGTAACCAACCAACCAGCCTCTACCTGTCAGTTAAGTTCTCATATCCTTCTTTCAAGGTATCACAGCCTAAATATAAATACAAAAATTCAACCTGACACACTGGAGCACAAGCTCACTCTCCTTTCAGCTTCTGAGATCAATCTCTAACTGCACCATCTGCCAGCCTTTCACAGAAGACAGGGAGAGGCCACCCTAGTACAGTATTGCCTACAGCAATTTTGTTGCAAAAAACTACCCAGATCCATCACTTCAATCTCTTGCACCAGATCGTTTTTACTTCGTGGATGTATAGCAACAAAAAAGTCAATCTAGAAACTTACTGCACTGATACAGACTGAATGAAGTACAGCATACATTTTCCATGAAGCTTGGACTACAGTGAAAAAGGCCAAGCCAACAGCTACCAACTGATACAGGATCATTTCTGATCTGCAAAATAAGTCACTGGAAGGATCAGCACTGGCAAGAGCTGCTGTGCAGCTCATGAGCTGATTCTGCAACTGAAACATCTCTTAGTGATCCTGAGCCCAAGAAAGATGGAGCAAAGTAACAAACAGTCAGTGAGCCATCACTGTGTCACACCAGGGCAGCTCAGAATCACCTCCTTCTAATGAAAGATTGGAAAGAAGAGATTACAACCAAATGTCACGCCACGGTGTATTTATAGTTTCCTGGCATTCCCTTGGACATTAAGAGGCCTCTGCTCTCCTCCCTCACCAGCAGAGACAGAGACAGGGAATAGGCTGTCTCTCCCCAGCACTTGTCCTGCCCAAACAGGATAAGTGTCCTGCCCTGCTCTGACTGCATGACTCGTTTGAGCACTCCAGCAAAAACTGGAGTTTTTGGGTAATCCCACAGATTACCCCTGTAGTTCATTTCTGTAAATCACACAGCATATAAAGACAGCACAGAACTCTAGATTCCAACAAGGAATCTGATGTTAAAACTTCATTCTTACTGAAGTTGGATTTTTTACCTTAAATTGTCAAGTGCAAAGCAGAAAACGGAGCAGTTCCCTAATTTCTATTATCCTTATTTCCAAAAAGGGGGCACAATTCTCAAAGGACAGTGTGTGGATTACCTAAATTTGTTAAACTTGTTCTTCTCCAAGTGCTTTAAGTGATTTCATTAACATGAAGTCAGCTGAACATTGGTGATCAGCAGAGATATCTGATCACTGCTTTTAGGAGATTTTTTTAATTAAATTGGAGTAAAAGCATCACAGCATGACTAGGTTATGAGGCATGTGTGCACTGTAAGTTATTGTATAACTAATTCAAATAGATAATGCAATAGGTTACATAGACAATAAAAATCTACACGTAATATATTACTGCCTGGCTTTAGAGACATAAGGAAAGACCAGTTCACAATCAGTGATTTTTCTGGAGCTGCTTCCATACACTGCAATCTGTGGGGTAATTTTGTTAATTACACAGAAACTATAAAACACAAATAGATGGCACAATTCCTCTGGGGTTTTTAATTGCTATGAGTTTGACTGATTAGATCCCATCTAGCTTTGAAGACTTTATGTATGCTTTCTAAAAATCTTTAAATTGTCTAAAAGCACTGAACTTCAGAAAACTGCTCAGAACATACAGCATTTAAAACGCACACTGTTTTTTTGGTCTCAACAGCTCTCATTAAATATAAGGTCTCACAGAGAAAAAAAATTGGTCATATAAGAAAGTCACTACGAATTGTCCAAGCCCTAATCATTCAGATTTCTTTCTTATTATTACACTACTCAGCTCCATAAGATGAGTAAGCCATGAGTCAATATCTACCCTCCTCAAAAACAAACTTAGACTCCTCTTAGGGCAATGAGCCCATAAGCTTAGGCCAGTCTGAGGGTTGCTGCAATCAGACACGAGCTGGCAAAAGACTGACAGAGAAGCTGCTTAAGTGCCACAACTAAACCCATCTGTAAAAAATTAATTATTACTATTTAATGCTGGCCCAAAGATAGTTTGCATTAAGGTCTATTTAATCTATTCTGTGAGCAGCATTTCTAGAACCTGAAGGATCAATTATTCTGCCAGAGCACTGAATGAAAACCTGAGTGTATACAATATTCGAGCACAAGAAATATCTGATAAGGAATCCTTATCTTGACCATTTTACTCTGCATTTATTTTTATTGCTTTAGAATGTTTGTCTTTCTGAGTAATTTTACAGTTATTTTTGCTTCTAAGTATCACTAAGAAATTATTTCAAGTAAATCCTATTGCTGTTTTGCTTCTTATTGTCATTTTACTGTTCAGACATTGGGTCTGGCAAACTTCACCACTTTCTTCTTTGATTTTGGTTTATCAAAGTATAAATGTGGTAAAGCTGTACAGCCTGTCCAGCTTCCCTTTTTAGACTCTATCCTTAAGACAAGTTAAACATCATCTCTTACTCTGAAATAGCTCTTAAAGAACAAGTTCTGCACCAAAGCAGATTTAAGATTTTTTTGTGTGCACATACTCGTTGCCATTCTGAACCCTTCTAAGCACATGACCTTCAAATCACTTTCACTTCAGAACAATCTTAAATTCTTTATTTTGTACTTCTTATTTGCACATCACCCTTTACCAAAATTAGCTGATACAGCAAAGCATCAAGGTCCCTGGCACAGCAGCTCCCATACACACTAATGCCCAAACCTTGCACACTGCTAAGCCTACATGAAACATGAAATCCCCTTCAGCTGAGGATCAAGATCCTGTTTGATGCAAGACCCAGCTCCTGATAACAGTTTCCTGCTCTTTGATATATAAATATCAAATAATCAACTTTTAAAGGTACCTCAGTCACAAATCACCTCCAAACCCCTCTGTTGTTCCTCCACCACTGTCCTTTTGCAATCCCTAACTCCAAGGCTCAGGCTCAAAGCTCACAGCAACTAATATCAGCAGCTATGGAGGGCAATATTTACTCCTAGTTTATACAGAATTTAACTTTGATTCTTAAAACTTACGCTTTTCTTTCTTTCAGTTTCCTTCACTCCCTGTTCAGGCTGTGAGACTTCATCAGGTGGCACCGTCAAGCGTAACCTACAGACGTTCATCTGAAAGAAAAACAAGATTTAAGCATTACAAAAAATTATTTTCATAATTCTCTTTACAGAATGAACTGTACTAACGTTCAAGTTTGAATCTGCTATTTTCTACCTTCTACCACATAACTGCCAAAAGATTATTTTTTAAAGGTTAGAGGGGTTTTTAGATGGCAAAAAATAATTCAAGGGCATCCCCATAATTACATACCTGAATAGCAAAAATCCATTTCAATCAACAACTTGTTCTTACATACTCATAAATGACATTGAGAACTGAGAGAACAGAACAATGAACATCATTTTCTACTTTCTAAGTTTTGTTTGCTGATTGGCCAAACTTTTAATCTTCAAAAGAGATTATTTAGAAACAGAGTGTATTTTAGAGTGAATGCTTCTTTTCTGTTCAGTATATGGCGAAATACTTGAGGCAAGGGATACCTCAGTGCTGCAACTCCACTGAATGTGAATAGGAATAATATTGAAATCTGTTACATACAAATTATTTATAAAAACTAAGCTTCAAAACACTTCAGAAAAAATTTAAGCAGTGTTGTTTCTCAACTGATTTTAGAAAAGCCAGTAGGGACGATATCTTTCTGTCCCCACCTGCAGTTTGCCTTGCTTTGGGCTGAGACATCTTTAGTGTAAGGATATTTTCAAACCGTGCATTTTATACAAGAAATTCTGTTAAAACTTTCGGTGTCAGTCCTGTTCAAGAGACATTTTTGTGCAAAACAACTGTAAGTCCTAAAGAGAGCACAGCAAATGCTGAAGTAAGAATTTTGGCAGTTCAGATTCGAAGCTGCACAATACCTTCCTGTGAAATCCCAGTTGTCTGTTGACAACAAAGAGAGCTCTTAAAGCTCTTCCTGTAAAGCTCTCAAGTATCCCTTTCATGATTACCATGGGCCATCACCACAGCTCCTCTACAGCCCAGCATCTCATCGGATCTAGAGCTCTCCAGTTCTTCCTGACTACCTACCTTCAGTCATGCTCAATGTGTGTCTTTCTCTGAAATACCCCTTCCCATTGCACTTGTCCAAGCTCACAGCTCACAGGTCATTACAGCACTTCCTTTGGCCTTGAAAATGGCAGTAAAGATCAGACCTTTTTCAACTTTTCAAACAGGCTCTAAGTTTTTCTTCTTCCCAAGCAAAAGCAATTGGAAGAACTATCTGCAAATATCTGCAGCAACTTCACTGTTTTTAACTCCTTTCTTTAAAGCTGTTGAGAGGACAAATCAACAGCATTTTGACTACTGGTATGTTGTCAACTGTATTTCAAAAATGTTATGTATTGCCTTCCATCTTCCTCTCAGTTTGGTCTCATCGGTCTGCAAGGCCTGTTCTGACATTAAGGAACAATGTCCTGACATGCAGATAAAGTTCTTATAAAATATGTGAGATGTGTGAAGAAGGAATAAAAAGTCTCTAAGAAGATCAAGGTGAAATATAACCTACTCTTTAGACACATCTGTGAAGGCAACTTTTTGTGCATTGTTAATTTATCATTCCTGCATATGCTAGCAAATCTAGAAAAAGAAGCCACAAAGTCACATAACCCCCCCAAAACTTAGCATAAGAGCAGGTTATGCATTCATATTAGATAAAGAATTCTGAAACAATGAAATGTATTTAAAAATTATCAGTCTTGGCATGCTGGCTTTAGACACAGATTGAGGGTTCTGTTTGTTCTAAGAACACCAGACTCTCCCCATATACTACAGAAGTTGATGGTGCTTCCCACTTCCAAGTCAGTTATCAAGATATATTAATAATAAACTCCTCATCTTTAAAACTCTTTGATTCATAATGTAATCGGTATCATCTTTTCTCACCCATTTAATTTCCATTTCCCCCGCCCTTTCTTCCCATTAGCTTAGTAAGGGTCTTTCCTCTTAAAACATCCCTGTTTTCAACATGAAGGGAAACAGAGACTGGCATTCCTCCATGTAGGCAAACAAAGACCAGAGTCATAAATAGGAAATAGAACTGTATCTCTGCTGTGCAGGAAGTGACAGAAGAGGCCAACTTTTCCTTACAGTGACTTCCAATGAAGGAAAACTGCACAAAAAGCAATGAATGGATTGCTAGGATAAAACATTAAGAAACCCTCAGATAAACAGAAACAGATAATGACTGGCAATTCAACGTTAGGAGAAATTGAGTTGTGTATGATTCTCTGAAGCTGGCAAATAGCTTGCCTACTAATCAGTGCAGGGCTAATTATAGGCAACATAGATTCAGAGAGCAGTGATTGTAAATAAGTAATTATCCCTGTACCTGTCTACCGGTCATGACTGACTGTCACATCACAGAGCTACTCTGAAGGAAATCACAGAATGGCAGTCAAATCATAACAAATAGATTGGAAATACACATTTACAACAGTAATTTCTTGAGACTAAAACCACTGTACAATCAAAGGGTTGTTATCATTTAAACTGTTTTTCCTTGCCCTTTTCACATTGCCTTATCCATTACCCCCAAATCATTTCCCTCACCCCAATTGGCAGTCAGCTAAGGATTTCAGCCTTGAAATGATGCCCAGTAAGGCTTGTACAGCAATGGCAAAGTACCACCCAGTTCCTTGCTGGGACAAACCTACACAGGCTGTACTTTCGCTATTGTTTATAACAATAGGACTTCCTCAGCATCCCTGGGGAAACAGCAACAAACATATAAAGCAGCCATCCACTTCTGCTCCTCGTAGGCCTCAGGTGAAACATTCTACCTCAGGACAGAACCACAGACCAATCTGCTAAAATTCAGAAACACTACAGATGTTGGAAGGGAAAAACAACAACTTTTTCCTCTAACCCCCAGAAGCAGTCACAAATACTGTACATATACTGTTCTTGCTGTGCAGTGCTTTCTGAAGAATCAACACACTGCACCATTTGTCAGCAAGTTTACTGGAGCAAATGAATGAGCAGGCTCACATGGAAATCACAGCGAGCCCTCCTCCAACAGCAAACACTGCTGTAGTGATGCCTTAAAATGGAAATGAGACCGTGACAGGAAGTGCCTCGACTCAGTGCCAAACAATGGCAGGATAATGTGCATGAGGATGAAGAAGTAGTTTCCAGAAACCCATGCAGGGATGGGGAGGAGGATGAGAACTACTCCAATGGGGAAAAAGTTGTGATTCAATTTCCTTCAACTGCTTACTGACAGTAAGAAAAAGTGAGAAAAAACAGGGGCAGACATGGCTTCCACCCTCCCTTTATGTCACTGACATTGTCACTTTGTGAGCATAACTTTTAAAAAGAAATACCGGGTAGAAGAAGAACCAGGTATATTTCTAATAATCTTTCAGATTTTTGTTTAATTTGCATCATCTGTAGCTTGGGTAAGTCACCAGTATAAGTAAGCTTAATAGTACCAACATTTTATGTTTGCTCTTGGCTTTTTGACACCAACAACCCATGAGCAGCATTTCCAAAGCTCATCTGGCATCACTTGTGAAACAAATAAGTAGAGGGAAAAACAAAGACTGACAGGTTCAGCCCAGAACAACACCAGACAGCAAAAGTTTGCTGAGTGCAGTGAAAATTAACAGGTCAAGACATGCTTTTTTACCAGATTTCTAAGAGGCTACTGGGACAGCATAGATGAGAGCTACTGCAGTATGGCAATTAGGAAAAAAATCTCAATCTAGGTTACTTTAAAATGTTGAGAATTCATGGCCCAGATCCACAATCCACATTTATGTTTACCATCCTACTCAAATCACTAGGGTGCAACTTAAAACAAATACAGATGACAGATTCTGTTTGAGTAATGTTCTTCAGCCTCTTCTTCCCCCTTTCTAAAAAACAAAGCACCCAGAAAGGCATTAATCATAGTTAACTATGGACTGAAATAATTACAGAACTAGCATTAAAATAATGAGCAATGTTGTTACAGAATAACCAAAATTACCAGTACAGCAATAGAAAAATACAGGCTGCTGTACTACCAACCAGTCTTATTCTAAGATTTTTACAGGAGCCTCACAGAAAAGATGTGGTTCAATATTGATCCAGCTTCAAACCAACTTTGGAGTTAAACATCACCAGAATTTAATATTGTTGATATTGTCTGATAATAAAACTGCATAGGGAAAACACCCTTGTCAAGTAAATATCCACTACCCTACCAGCTCAACGCAGAAAAATCACTCCCCCCTTTGCCTAAAGCCCAGTGTCAGTTTTAGACTTTTGAAGGTGAAAGCAGAAAAACAGTGGATGTTTAATTTCAGTCAGTCCTAAAAAGCAAAGAAGAAAGTACTTTCTTTGCTCTTTTATCTGTTGATTAGCCTGCTCTATTTATGAAAGCTCTGCTATGAGATTCCACACACAATTAAAGGGCACTTTTCCAGTGACCACAAACACACAGGAATGTGACACACATCTTTCATTTATTCAGCAGTTATTCTAACTGTCTTCCTCCCCTTTTCTTACAACTCATGGTAAGAGAGTCATATTTCACTAAAAAAAAGGGACAACAGCTTCCCAGTGGGTTGTATCTGCAAATTAAATTTTTACTAGTTTCCTTAAGAGAATATATCAAATACAGTTCATCTTACATCATGCCCAGTAAATCTATCAAGGGGATGAAAATATGAAAATTATCACCTAAACACAAGTTCCCTTACTTTAACTTCTTTAAGAAACAGTAAAATAGGAAAACTCAATGGGAACATGGAAGACATATAGGAAACATAGCTATGACTTTCAAGTCATCTTAATTTTTCCACATATATGAGCAACTTCAATTTTTATGAAGACCAGCAATCTTTTGCTCTGGAAGAGCCTGACCTTCTTGCTATCATGTAAAACAGAGCAACATAATGTTCTTCATTGTTTCAATTAGGAACTCATATTTTTGGAGCATCAAAACAATCACTGCATAAATCAAGAAGCTTCATGATCACATGGATGTACTACTTTGTAAGGACAAGATTATCACTTATTTTGATTTATTTCTTCACATGTGGAGTGAGCACTCACAATGATAGCAGTGTGGTTACAGCAGCAAGAAAAGGGCTATTTAAAGCTGGGTGGATGTAGAGACATTCCTGTCATATCTGCATGAGTTTTAACAACTTTTTAGAAGCACTTCCTAACAGACTAATACATCGTTATTATTTAATACACCTATGAAAATTTAAAAAAATACATCAACAAATCATATTTCTGTATCTGAGGAACTGATTATCCAAACAAATTACTATTGCCATCTAAATCGTTGTGGTGAGCTTCCTCACGACGGGCAGAGCCTGGGCAGGCAAGTTCTGAGTTTCAGATATCCAAATGCATTTCAAAGGTGCAGGAAGAAAGTCTCCAACACAAGTACACCTTCCCGAACAGCCAGGGACTAGCACTACAAAAGCCTTGCGGGACACCCCAGAAGCTCATCATTTCCCCGCACCTACATCGAACGCACAGAGAGATGCTCTCGCACAGCGCAAAATAAGAGAGGAGAAAGGGAAAAAAAAGGAAGAAGGAAAGAAAGAAATAAAGAAAGGCAAAGCGCTCCGCAGGTAAGTACGAGAGGGGGTGTCGAACCGCCGCTCCCCCGCGACACCTCCCGCGGGCCCTCCCCGCCGCCCCCCCGCCTGCCCCGCGCACCTTCCGCCGGGCGCGGCCGCCGTCCCCGGGCTGTCCCCGGGGGGTGGTGGCGGTGACCGTGAGCCCGGAGCTGTAGCGCAGCATCCCCGCGGGCCGGCGCGCACCGACTGCGGCTCCTGGGCCGGCGCCGCCGCTCCGCCCCGCGCACTTGGCCGCGGGCGGCCGCAGGGGCCGGGCGGGGGCGGGCCGGGCAGCGGGGACGGGGCTCTCCCCTCCGCCCAACCTGCGCCCCCGCGCTGCCGCCCGGGCCACCCGAGTGCCCGCTTTCCTCGCCTGGGGTGGAACTGGGCAAAGTGGCCGTGGGACGCTGAGGTCCCGGTGCTGAGGTCCCGGCTGCCTCTGCTCATTACTGGGTGTCGGGGCGCAGCGTGGGGAGGGGGGCTATGAGAGGAGATCCAGGTGGGTCCATCTGTCACTCAGCCACTTCCCGGGACTGGAAAATGGGGATAGGGCTCGAGGGAGTCACTGGGGGCCACTCCGTCCCATTCTCCTGTACCCACCTCTGAGCACTCTAACCAGAGAGTGATATGTGAAAGCTGGACACTGTCCTCCCTTTCTTCCCACAGCAGCAATCCGTGAGCGACCCAGGGCTGTCAGTTGTTATCCATGCTCCAGGAACGGGTACCAGACTGATCCAAAAGCACCCAGACCCCAGACAGCCGCGGGTTGACAGGCACAAAGCCGGTGCAGCTCAGTGCATGAGTGACAGCGTCAGCCTTGGTGCCAAAGGTCCAACAAGGTGAGTCGGGTCTGCTGGAGCTGCCTGGCCCCGAGCCAGATTGCAGGTGTGGACTTCAGCATTTCAGATGCTCAGCTCTTCCGGATCTGGGCTGAGGGAACGCCACAACCCTACCCCGCTGACACGGGCCTACGCACACACATCTTCACCCACAGCCTGGGCAGCGTCTGTCATGAGCAGTGCATTCCTCAGTAATCAAGGGAGTCATAATCAAAGGAGATGCTTTTGTTTGAAGGAAATGGCAGAACAAATACCTTAAAGAGCATTTTTTAAATAATTTATCTCCTGTCTCCATGTAATTAAATTAAGGCCATGAGAAAACACAGTTATGGCTGTGCAGTGTCTGTGACCAATAAGATGTAAAGGACCAGAATGCTGAAGAGAGGAAAGTAATTTGCATTGGAAAAATGTAAACTGCACCGAAGTCTGAGTGCCTCACCCTCTCTGTGTGCAATGCCTCTGTCCACTTCTGCCCCCAGTTGTCTGTCTCCAGGACAAGATTCTGAGCTATCAACATGACAGGGATCTGAGGAAGAGAGGCAGAAATCATTGCCCAACCCAGAGGAACGAATGAAGGTTCTGCATTTAGTATTCAGCATTTTTTGTTGTTTTCCTAGCTACTATTCTCTTCTCCTCAGAGGAAGGTAATAGAGCCCAGAGGAAGGTAATATAGCCCAAGGCAAATGAGTTAGAGCAACCACTTGTATTTGGATTTCTCTCACCTCAAGATTGGCTGCATGTTTTTGTGGGAAGGCGTCTTGTGCCTACAAACAATTGCATTTCCATATGAATCATGCCTGTCTTAGCTCCTGGTTGTAATGCTGCTTTTGTGGGTTTGCAGGTGGAGAATAGGTTTATCATCAACATGTTCCTTCACAAGTATGTTGTCTACCCACTGGGCTGTCATTTACTTGTTCCTGGTTATTCTGGTGAGCAGGAATGTCTCTATTTAAATTCTGGTATGCAGACAGCTGGTGACCTTTGTGGTTTCAGCTGAGGAGGAGTTCATAGACCTGCAAGATTATCCTGGTTATTTAGAAGTTTTGCTTTCTGGACTTCATTTCCCTCTGGGAAAAGGCCTGTATGCAGGGCTGCCTAGTCACTGCAAGGCACAAACAGGAAACTGCTTTTCTAAGAACAGGCACAGAGATTAAACTTGTACCACACTATGGAAAAGGACCTCCCTTCCCATACACTAAAGCATGAGAGAGTAAGGCACAATAATCAGATCTCTGGGAGAATCTACAAGGTCTGCATCAACTTTGCAAATACTGATAATTTTGATGGAAATTTTGATGGTGCAGATGAGGAAGACTTGTTCATGGATAATACAAAGATAGATAATAAAAATATAGTTTTCTCAGTTACATCTACCTTACTAGCAGCTCCCCCCATTTCTTGGAAAATAGCAGCAAGACATGTTTACCCAATTTACCAATATTTGCTTGAACAGAAGCATCTTCTACTTTTGGGCACATCCTCAAATTAATATCCTCTAAGAAAGAATAACCTGCATGCACAGCTAGGAGTCTCCTTTTTTGGATACTCTCTGAATCTTCTTCCCTTCCCCTCAGTCAGGAGGTTGCTCAAGTGTAGCAAGGAGTCTAATTTGTTTGCTGCCTTGCCAGTTGACTGTGTATCCCATGCAACCATGTGCAGTCACCATATTTGTGTGTGAAATTATGCCAGAAGAATCACTGATCATGAAGAATATAAATGCTCCCAAGAAGCAGCTGGGTAAACTCAGCTATGAGGGCTGTAAAACATGAAGATACATCTACAACTACTGACCTAAGAGGTCCCTGAACTGTGGGTTTTCTTCCTTGATACCTCCCCAGGGACAGGATGTCTGACCACTGTCTTTTCAGCCTTGGCATGATGGACTCCCCACCAACAGCAGTAAAGGTGACAGGCTTCTAGCAAGCAACAGGTCTCCTCTGCTCTGAACAGCTCTCATGCCCAGCTGTTGCTGGCCTAGGACCAGCTCTGCATGGCTGCAGCTCGTTATTCCACATGTGCCATTCTCTCTCACCCCCTATGGAAGCTTAAACCATGAAGTGACAATCCACAGAGTCACTCTCTGTTTTGCTCCCTGTCTGGTTTTGGCTTCTCCCTGTTTGCCAGGACCCATGACTTTACCTCCCTGGCAAACATAGTCTGAAGTAGATTTGCCACAGTTTACAGCTCTTTTGTCCTGCAAGGGTCATTATACACATGTTGAGAGCATTTTATACTGTCTGTGGTTTGGCACTAGTTTAGAGAAACGAGATGGGGGAACAGAAAGTAAATCACTACTTGGGAATTAGTTTGACTAAACTAACAGTATTCTATTGGTGTTTACAGCTGGACAGACTACTCAAAAGGTATACAGAGTCACACAGACTGCTCAGACAATACGCAATATGGTGGCAGAACATAATCTGACCAGGATGCTGAGCTTCCAGTTCAGAACCTGGCACAGCACTTTGTGACTGCAATGATCCAAAAGCACAGCAGGTTAATTACAAGATGACACTATAGTATGAATATCTGGAGCAATAGTTGTTGTGACATAGCTAATATAATTACACAGAAATTGCAAGAAGTTTAAAGTGTAGGCACCTTTTTTGGTTTTTTTGTACACAACCTTGTTCACCCCCACCAGTGTTACTGAAATATTTTTTTCCCCAGGAGGCCCAAAGACCATTTTGCTGCGGGAAAAATGAAACAGGATGTCACAAAATCAACAGACATTTCTATGAAAAGCCCTTGGTCACAAGATGGACAACAGAGCATGCAATACATGGAGTAGGAAGCAGGTCTGCCCTAACAGAACAGCAGATCATAAAATAATTCCTGCAGGAGTGGGTAGCCTGGTCTTGCCATAACAAATTGCCTAAATGTGGGCGTGATAAAAAGCAGATTATTATTTTCCCATCAAAATCTCCTCTCCATCTTCAGGCTAACTGCTGACACAGTCAAGAGGAAGAAAAAAAAGTTCCAATAGCACACGATCAACTGGAATATTAATCCCATAAGATTTAGGAATAATTGCAGAGGTACAAATGGAACAAGAACTCACGCCTGTGGTTGTTAAGGTTACAAAGTCCCATTTGTATTGCTACAAAACTGAGGTCTTGTAATTAACTTCTAATAGCCTACACTTTCCAGGGGGATTAAGATCTATTCTGCCTTCATCATCCCTAAAGTATGAAACCCACTTATAGAAGAAATTATCAAATGGACAGGTGCATGTAAAATATTTCAGAACCAGACTTAATAAGAACTGTAGGCTCAATCAACTATTTTTCCTCAAAGCTGTTTCTTTTTGCTGCCAGCTCTTACCCTTGTATTCTACAGACACACACTTAGCTCAGCGTCATAGAACTATTAAGCTCTCCTTTTTAGGCATTTAAAATGAAAATTTCAGCCTGCTAATGGTCATAAAACAGCTTGTTAGGTGGCATATCAGAAACTGAGCCCCCAAATTCAGTTGTCATAGGTGCCCTGAAATGCAATATACAAACCAAGACATAATATTGTGCAGTTCTTCTCTTGAATAATATTTCATCTTTCACTGACAAATACATCTTTGCTGCATTTGGAGCTCCTGTGGTTTATAGTTACCCTTTTAAAGTGACATAACACATGCAGCCACCTGAATGTCCAGCTTGGTTCAGCTACAAGCATCATATCACTTCTCAGACCTTTAATTGTTTACTCTCACTTAACACTCTTGGTACATGGCTAATACAAGATTACTACAAAAACTCAGAGCCTCTCCTGCTGATCTCACACAGACAAATCTAAAATTAGGAATTCCCACACCAGGAGTTTGAAATGCAGAATACACGTTCTATTTTGCAAAGCCCTCAGTACCCATTTCGTGCAATTATTTCAGTTAGGGTTGAAATTAATAAAAATAAGAAATTTCTGGAGTTACCTGCAATAACAGCTTGGTTCCATGTTTGCTGACAATGTAGAGTCACAGACTGTAACTGCAGTAAATGTTTCTTTGAATGCCTTCTGCTTTTAATTGTTGTCCTACTTTGTACTTGAAGTCCATCTTCCTGTCAGGTTTCTCGAAGTATTTTTTAACTATTTATCAATAAAGTCACAAAATGCAAGATAGCTCAATAAGTAATACATTGTGCACAGCAATTTCCTCTGGAAGAGACAGAAAGGACAAGAGAGAATGGATTAGTTACTAAAAATTGTATCTAGGCACGAACATAGAGCAAGTCCATTGAAGCCAATCATGTAATGATAATAAGTAACAGGATTCCACCGTGTACCTTTATGCATAAATATGTATGTCAGTGTATTTCATACAATTGGTACACCTAGCAGTTAGAAAAATGAGAAT